CAGAAGCCCCACATGATGAGTTCTAATCAGAGGCCAGTTACGTTGCCCGGAATGGCATCACCGGGACCCTACCCTGGAGCCAGGTCTGGGGTGGGAGCTCGACGGCAAGCATCTGGTGGCTGGGCCCGAACAAATGACGCGGGGGCCACCCTTCCGTGGGCCCACCACCTGCGGGAGGAGGCATATGGGGCCGGTGCAGAGAGATCTGGGCAGCAGCCGAAGGCGGGGGCCTCGAAGACCGCATCTTCGGACATGGAGACATGGAATGTCACCTCACTGGGGGGGGAGCTAGTGCGGGAGGTTGAGCGTTACCGACTAGATATAGTTGGCTTCACCTCCACGCACAGTTTGGGCTTTGGAACCCAACTCCTTGAGAGGGGCTGGACTCTCTGTTTCTCTGGCGTTAGCCGCAGGGAGCGGCGGCGGGCTGGTGTGGGCTCATTGCCCCACAGCTCAGTCGCCGTGTGTTGGAGTTCACCGCGGTGAACAAGAGGGTCGCATCCCCCCGCCTTCGGGTCGGGGACAGGTCTCTCACTGTGGTGTTGACCTTCAGGCCGAACAGCAGTGCTGAGTACCCGGCTTCTTGGAGTCCCTGGGAGGGGTAGTAGACAGTGCACCGACCGGGACTCCGTTGTTCTACTGGGGGACTTCAACGCCCACGTGGCAACGACAGTGACACTTGGAGAGGGTGATTGGAGGAACGGCCTCCCTGATCTGAACCGGAGCGGTGTTTGTTATGGACTTCTGTGCTAGTCACAGTTTGTCATAACGAACACCATGTTCGAGCACAAGGGTGTCCATAAGTGCACGTGGCACCAGGACACCCTAGGCCGGAGGTCGATGATCGACTTTGTAGTCGTGTCATCTGATCTCTGGCCGCGTGTCTTGGACACTCGGGTGAAGAGAGGGCTGAGCTGTCACTGAACACCACCTGGTTGTGAGTTGGGTTCGCTGGCGGAGGAGGAAGCCGGAAAGACCTGGCAGGCCCAAGCGTGTAGTGAGGGTCTGTTGGGAATGTCTGGCGGAGCCCTCTGTCAGAGGGACTTTCAACTCGCACCTCCGGGAGGATTTCTCACAGATTCCGGGGGAGGCTGGAGATATGGAGTCCGAGTGGGCTTCAGTCTCGGCCTCTATTGTCAATGCAGCCGCTCGTAGCTGTGGCCGTAAGGTCTGCGGTGCCTGTCGCGGCGGCAACCCCAAAACCCGGTGGTGGACACCAGAAGTAAGGGATGCCATCAGTCTGAAGGAGAAGTCCTATCGGGCCTTGTTGGCTCGTGGGACTCCTGAGGCAGTTGATGGGTACCGGTGGGCCAAGCGTGCTGCAGCTCGTGTGGTTGCGGAGGCAAACACTCAGAGCTGGGAGGAGTTCGGGGAGGCCATGGAGGAGGACTATTGGACGGCCTCAAAGAGATTCTGGTAAATCGTCCGGCGCCTCAGGAAGGGGAAGCAGTTCTTCACCAACACTGTTTACAGTAGCGGGGGGAGAGCTGCTGACCTCGACTGAGGACGTTGTCTGACAGTAGAAGGAATAATTTGAGGATCTCCTCAATTCCACCGTCACTTCCACCATCCGAGGAGGAGGCCGAGGCTGGGGACTCGGAAGCGGACTCGTCCATCACCCTGGCTGAAGTCACTGAGGTGGCTGGCAAGCTCCTTGAGACTCTGGCAAGACTCTGCCCTTTGTCACCGGACTGGCAAACCGGGGTTCTCTGTTGTGTTCATTGGAGAATTCCTCAGCCTTTCAGGGTACATGGAACAGAATTTCTCCAACACTGGACGCAGCCAGGGGCTGGAGGGGGTCCCGTGTTTCTGGGGGGTGCTCTGGACCAAGGGCTGAGGAGCAGGAGCTGTGTTCGCATTGCATAAGTCTGTTCTGCATGTTCTCGCCAGACCGATGATGTTTCTGTCCTGTTTTCTGGCTTCATCAAACTAGGACCTGCAATGTGCACTGGGGCGGTTTGCAGCCGAGTGTGAAGCGGCTGGTATGAAGATCAGCTCTTCCAAATCCGAGGCCATGGTTCTCGACCGGAAAAAGGTGTCTTGCCCTCTCCAGGTGGGTGTAGAGTCCCTGCCTCAAGTGGAGGAGTTCAAGTATCTCGGGGTCTTGTTCACGAGTGAGGGGAGGATGGAGCGTGAGATTGACAGGTGGATCGGTGCAGCTTCGGCAGTGATGCGGTCGCTGTATCGGACCGTTGTGGTGAAGAGGGAACTGAGTCAAAAGGCAAAGCTCTCGATTTACCGGTCAGTCTTCGTTCCTACTCTCACCTATGGTCATGAGCTCTAGGTAGTGACCGAAAGGACAAGATCGCGGATACAAGAGCTCGAAATCAGTTTCCTCAGCAGGGTGTCTGGGCGCTCCCTTAGAGACAGGGTGAGGAGCTCAGTCACACGGGAGGAGCTCAGAGTAGAGCCGCTGCTCCTCCACGTCGAGAGGAGCCAGTTGAGGTGACTCGGGCATCTGTTCCGGATGCCTCCTGGGCGCCTCTGTCGGGAGGTGTTCCGGGCATGTCCCACCGGGAGGAGGCCCCGGAAGACCCAGGACACGCTGGAGGGACTAAGTCTCTGGGCTGGCCTGGGAACACCTCGGGATTCCCCCGGAGGAGCTGGAGGACGTGTCTGAGAGTCCCTGCTTAGACTGCGACCCGGCCCCGGATAAGTGGAAGAAATCGGCAGCCCATTGACGACTATGAGTACTGGTATGATACTGGTATGAGTATCATTGCATCCCTACACCTGGAACATTTCTAGTATAAAATTAGTTTCTGGTTCAAGGTTTTGTATAAATCTGCTGGGACAGGGGACACAGGGATCAAAACTGGGACTGTCCCAGATAAATAGGGACGTCTGTGACTCTATGATAGAAGTTAGGTCTATGTTAGCTGTTAGTTGACCTGACCTGAGCGTCTCCAGTTTACAGCGGGGGCTCTTCAGGGCGCTGCTCAGAGTCTTGACCCCTGAGTCCTGAAGATCGTTGTTGCTTAGGTCCAGCTCCATCAGACTGTTTTTCTCTGAGTCCAGGACAGAGGCCAGAGCCTCACAAGAACGAGGAAAAAGATCACAGAAACTCAGCCTGAGGGACAGAGGAGTTTAAACAGAACACAGAAGATCAGCTCAGAAATGAGAAGCTGAGGAGATGTCAGTGTAACAGCAGAGAGTCTAAACCCTCACAGCACAGACCTGAGTGTTTGCAGAGCACAGTCCGACCTCTTCAGACCCTCACAGAGCAGGAGCAGCCCAGAGTCCTGCAGAGGATTCTGACTGAGGTCCAGATCCCTCAAACAGCACTGAGAGCCGAGCACTGAGGCCAGGGCCTCACAGCCTCTGTCTGACACACCACACCCACTCAGCCTGAGGAGGAACAATAACATCAAGAAACAATAAATTATGACATTAATGTGAAAGGAACCACCTTTTCATGTGTGAAACATATTCATGACATTTGATTTTCATTGTAGTTTTACATGTGACAGAACAGACCTGCACTGATGTACAACTTACAGAACTTTGGAGGACAGACTGACAACAGGCATCAGGTGGAGCAGAGCAGTCTCTGACGGTTGGTATTTACTCAAGTCAAACTCTGGTTCTTCTGTGGACACTAAGATGCACACCAGTGTGCTCCACTGGGCAGGAGACAGGTCTGAGGGAATCTTCTCAGAGCTGAGACAGGCCTGGACCTTCTCACAGAGACTTGTGTCCTTCAGCTCAATCAGACACTGCAGCAGAGTCAGGTTCCTCTCCACTGACAGACCTGAGTCTAACTTAGCTCTCAGATATTGGGCTGTTTCCTGTTTTATCTGTGAACTTCCTGTTGGTTTCATCAGCCCTCTGAGGAGACTCTGGTTACATTCAAGAGACAAACCCAGAAGGAATCTCAGGAACAGGTCCAACAGTCCATTTGGACTCTCCAAAGCTGTGTCCACTGCTGTTCTGTAAAACTGTATCATGGAAGTTTTGCTATAAAACATTTTGGACCAGAAAGACGGTTTATCTGAGAGCAGGTTGACCTCAGAGTCCATAAAAGTGATGTGAACGTGAAGAGCTGCCAGAAACTCCTGGATGCTCAAATGTACAAAGGAGAAGACCTTGTCCTGGTACAGGCCAGTCTCTTCTTTAAACATCTGAGTGAAGACTCCTGAATGCACTGACGCCTCTGTCACGTCGATGCCACACTCGCTCAGGTCAGACTCATAGAAGATCAGGTTTCCCTTCTGCAGCTGCTCAAAGGCCAGTCTGGACAAAACCATCAGATTTTTCTTTCTTTCTGAGCTCCAGATAAAGTCTCTCTCAGACTGATCTTTGTATTTCACATTAGAGATTTTAGCCTGGACGACCAGGAAGTGAATGTACAGCTCTGTCAGGGTCTGGGGCAGCTGTGGGGACAAAGAAGAGAAGGATTACAGTTGCTGAACATCATAGTTTGCATTCATCTGAAGGGGGTCTGGGACTAGTAAAATGAAAACAGCAGTGAACCAAATATCAGTCCCTATGGGAGTGTAGATCTTTGTACAGAATAATATGAAAGAGAAACTGACCTGTCCGCCTCCAGTTCGGAGGACATAGTCCATGACTTTGGCAGTGATCCAGGAGAAGACTGGGATGTAGCAGAGGCTGTAGACGCTGCGTGAGGCTTTCACATGAGACACGACCTTAGACGCTTCATCTTCATCTCTGAATTTCTTCCTAAAATACATTTCTTTCTGTGCATCTGTGAATCCTCCAACTTCCGTCACCATGCCGACGCACTCTGCTGGGATCTGATTGGCTGCTGCGGGGCGTGTGGTGATCCATATTTGGGCAGAAGGAAGCAGTGTGCCTCTGATCAGGTTGACCAGGAGAGTTTCTATGGAGGTTTTCTCTCTCACGTCTGAGACGGACGGAGTTTTGGAGAAGTCCAGCTGCAGACGGCTCTCATCTAAACCGTCCAGTATGAACAGACACTGAAACTCTTCAAACCTGCAAACGCCGTGGTTTGTTTCAGTGAAGAAATGTCCTATGAGCCCATACAGGCTGAGGCTCTCCTCTTTCAGGAGGTTCAGCTCTCTGAAGGTGAAGGGGAAGATGAAGTGCAGATCCTGGTGGCTCTTGGCCTCAGCCCAGTCCAGACTGAATCTCTGCGTCAGGAGGGTTTTCCCCACACCAGCCACGCCCTTCGTCAGCACGGCTCTGTTCCTCTGTCCTACTGGAGCAGCGATGAAGAGGTCTGAACATTTGAGAGTCCTGATGGTTCGTTTGGTTTGTTTTAGTTGGATTTGTGTTACTTCATGTTCCTCATTCATTTTAGAGTCTCCTTCTGTGAGGTACAGCTCTGTGTAGATTTCATCCAAATGAGATGCTTTTCCTGTTTCTTGAATTCCCTCAAACACCATCTGAAAGTTGGCCTTGAATCTGGACTTGAGCTGGCACTGGCACACAGGAGCAAGAAGTTCTAAATGAAAAAGAAAAAACTTATTAATTTATTTCTGCATTATCAGACTCACCCTGGGCTGGAAAGAAATACAAGAACTAAGAACTAACACACTAATTGCCATAGGAACTATCAATGGAGGGAAACAAATCTAAAATAACAGAGCTCCTGCCGTTGTCGTCAAGCAATGCAACACATGCACCTCCAAACCCCACACTGGCAGTGTGAATTCCCATAGAAATTAAAAGCGTGGGCCACAATGTTATGGAGTTTCAGAAATTGTGGATTATTGTTGCGCACCAAAATAGAGTAGAATAGAATAGAAAGCCTTTATTGTTATTATACACATTATGATGAGATGCAGAGCTGCTCCTTCAAAATGCACATAAATGAACAGTTCTCAGTGCAAACATGAGTTTAGTATGGTGAGATTTGGGAAAGAAGCTGTCTCTAAATCTTTGTTCTGACTGGTATGGACCTGAAGCACTTGCCACAAGGCAACAGTGCATACATTTTTTTTCAACCATAGTGTCATGACAATTCAAAAACTGTATGTTTGTGTAGTGTCAATACTCAATAAATGAGGCAGAGAGTGAAGGGAAACAATCCCAAAAGCTTTTTGCTTAACACTGTTCATATGTTCAATGTGAATTGACTGTGTAGAAATGTGGATTGTAGAAAAAGAATCACAAACTAAGGTTAAATCAACAGAGAGATTAACAGACTACACTCGCTGCTCTACTGCACATGTTGTTTGCAGAAAGAGCTGTTGCAATGTCTTGTTGAGCTGTTGGATGAACAAACAGTTTTGATAAAAACAACAGTCTGCAAGTTTTACAGAATCATATCAGGTAAGCCTGTTAGCTGGTCAACATTGAAGCTTTTCTAAGCACATTTATTGAGTCCTACATATATGAAAATGAATGAATGAAAAGCATTCAAATGGGAGTAGAACTATCTTATTTACCATGGCAACATTGTCCTGTGTTGTGTTGTGTAAACTTTTGCAAATGCTTTTTTGTTGCTACATGCGTCAGGTGAGTTCAAACCAACCGTAAGGATTTGTCTTACACAAGTCACTGGAATACATTTTATTTGTACAGGAAAGGCATTCAGAGACACTGACAGTCCTGACTTTGTCCCATGTGCTTTCCTCTACCAAACCACACTCTATGTACCCAACCCAGTCAGGTAAAGACTGCGATGTAAAATTGGAACGGTAAATATGATCACTTCTGCATGTTTTGTTGTTGTCTGATCAACCATCATGATTCCACATGTTGGAAGTGCAAATACCACTAATATTACAACTATTACCAGGAGTATCTGTCAGGCTATAGAGTTATTATACATACATATGTGTTTTATTATAATTAAAGCTCATTGAGATGTGGTATACTGACATCTTAGATGGGAGAATTGGGATGTCTGTATGTCATTTACACTTCTTAAATTGAGAATGTAAGAAACCTATGGTTAACTAAGCTGGGTTTTTTGTACTAAATGATTGTTCTCTTTTGGTTTCAGCTAGAAGAGAAGAAGATGAAGAAAACTCGATGAAAACCCCAGCAGATGTTCATACAATGAATGTCAGTCCACATCCACTTCCCTCTCTCTAAATGTTTCTGGAATGGAGCCTGGTCCTGATCTTTGTACTGGTAAAAACCCTTAACACTAACCTGACCAAGACTGTGTATGTGGACCCATTTGGATTTTTATTATGAAAGTAACTTGTTCATATCAAACTACGAGCCTCTCATGACTTTCTCCCCCATGACTTTCTCCAAGTAACTCTTTCAGAATATTAAATATTGTAGATTGTAAGTACAGTTACTAATAAGATTATCAGGTTGCTGTTTATATATTTGTTGTGAATAATTATTTGACCGTGATCATGTCTGAATAATCACCCAGAATGTTTACTGTTTATTACATATAAAAATATGATGGCAGGGTAAAGTTTCGATCTGTCCAATTTATTTTTCAGAAATTACGGTCGTCCATGATGACCTCAAACAGAAGCGCAGCCAACTTCAAACTGAGTGTGACAATCTGCATGTGAACATCAACAAACTGAAAGCAGAGAATAAACATATAAAATAAATGATCGGGGAACACAGTTCTTCTTCACACTGTCAAGTGTAAAGCAGCACATGTCCTGTTTCTCACAGGTCTGACCAGTGCACTCTCTTACAGGGTCCTGGAGGTAGTTAAAGACTTTAAAGTGTAGAAGCTGTGTGTGGCTCTCTCACCCTGGAGGACTATCTATTGGTCAATAAAAGGGGTAACTGTTTCAAACCTAAATACCAGCGTTGCAGGTGCATTATTGACTGCACTTATTAAAAGACCCACACATTTTACAGCCAGAGCCCAAACATATTCAAATTAAAAGAGTCATAACACAGTCAAGTATTTGGCTGGCATGTCACCTGCAGGAGCTATCACAGTTCTGTGTAAAGGTTGGGGTTGGCGTGTCTCTGATTTAAAAAAAATTGCAGCTGACCTTATGAACTTCTACAAGTAAATAATGAGATAATAGCCGATTGTGGTTTTAGCCCCAGAGATGAACTTGCGTTGTGTGGCACTACCCTGAGGATCCCCAACTTCACCAAAGGAAAAAAGGGGCTGTCTGCCCAAAAAGTCAAAACACCAGGGTGTTTGTCCAACTTTAGAATACACAATGAAAGAGTAATAGGGAGATCAAAAACATTCAAACATTCTTCTTATTGTTATTCCACTTACTACTGTTATTGGATGACATGGTTATGTGTGTGCAGCATTAACAAACATTTACAAATGTATATTCCCCAGAAAATAAATAAACTCAATACTTCAAAAGTTAAGGAAACATTCAAATGTTTTTATTCTTATTAATTATGAACACAATAATAAACACATAAATAAAACTATAATTTTCTTTATATAAGATGCACCTTGTGATTTGAAGAACTTAAGTACAAACTTTTACTGTTACACACAAACTGTTTGCAGTGCATTGTTTTGAGCTTTGTTTTTTTGTTGTTGTTTTTTCTTGCCCTCCTCATAATGCCTTTCTTTAACCTTTCTTTTTACTTTTGCACATTCATAATGGAAATGCTTACGACATTGTGTACAGGTGATGATCTTTCCAAACTCTGGCCTTTCACACTGTGAGCAGACTGTAGGTGGCTGCTGTTTCAGGTCCATACTGTGGAGCTCAGGCAGAATACACAGCATGATCCCAAGCTCAAGAAAGAGCAGCATGTATTCATTTTTCTAACAATACATTGTGTTAGACACATTGATTTGAATGGTGATAAAGCATGTACTGCTGCTTAATTGCAGCAAATAGAAAGGCCAATATATGTATAACAGGCCATATATGTCTATATGGCCTATATGTCATATAGGCCATATATGTATAACATTGTATTATAATGTCAGTCACATACCCTGCCAGTCAGGTGCAGTTGGCAGTGAAGATGCAGGGTGCAGCACCTCAGTCTTCAGAGCCACAAAGTTTCCAATGTTGTAATTGTGTAATAGAATGTCCTGGACATGATTGTCTGTTACACAGCAGTAAGCATCCAGTGTCATGTAGAATTTCAGGCTCTCCCAGAAATAGAGGCTAGGTGTGTCAATCAGGTATGAATGGATGTCCGGCCACTGAGTTTCTTCTCGTCATTTACACACTCACCTTCATTTAACGCATATGGGTCATGAAGACGTATCCCATTAACTAATGTTAATTTAGCAGAATAACTTATTTTATCACACAGTGATAAACTGTTGTAATACGCTGACAACATTGCTACTTAGTGTTGCAAATTCAACCGTGTAACTGTGCAGACTGCCACGGCTCTTTCTGCACTTAGGTTGCACGTGCATACGCTATGTTGACAGACACATAATCAGTCTATAGTTTTGTATGTTTATTACATGAGTGATTTAGCTGCTATGTCGCTACATCTGCACATTATTTTATCAATTTCTCCAGATACACAAAGTAAACCAGACATTGCAGAGTTATGTTTGGGACCAAGTGAAGGATTTGCTGGAGTTTAGTATCATCTGTTTGGCTTCATCTTAACACACACACTACAGACTGTGACTGGGTGTGGATTATTTACGTATCAAGCCTTTGAGACATTGTTAAGACCCTGCACTTGATATGTTTTCGGCTGGATACAAGGTGATTCTCTGGACGCTGTTTCTTCAGCTCTTTAGTTTTACGGGTAAGATGATACACTGCACTTTGTTTGGGCACATGTAGCACTATGTTAAAACCTGATGTTGTATGTGCCATCAGTTTGAGCAGGGCACAGTCATGACTCACATTGTAAGCACCTCCACTGCTGTATCAGGCTCTATCAGGCGCATTTATTCAGCCTCAAACGCTGCATGTAATGTAAAAACCTAGAAAGCTTAACTTGGTTACTCCTCATTGGTCCCTCTACTTGCTGATGGTGGGTCTACCAGAGATGAGAAAATGAATGGTTTTGTCTCTGACAATAAAGTGCCATTGAAAACTGTTATAAATAGCTGGTACAAAATCATTCATACCACTGCGGCATCTGTCAAAAATGGTCTCATTTCTGCCGCTGAACCACAGATAGATCAGAGTCATGACACAGTGGTGTAAACCACCTCATTTAATTTTAACACATTGTAATTGTTACAGCAGACGCACAAGTCTCAGAGCAGAAAGGTGAAGAAGTTGATGTAAATAAGGCATAAATGTTTTAGACTTTTCTTACTGTTCTTGAGAGAATCTGCCAGTGCGCCCTGCTTCATGTTCCTGAGGAGATGCAGAGTTATGTCCAGGAAAGCTTCTTTGGGCCTTTCCCACTCGTCCAGCTCTGCTTCTTCAGCTTTCTTAAAACAGTCCATACAGTTTGCACTCGCAACCTCCCTCAACCTCTTCAGCTCCGAGCGCATAAAATTAAGAAGGGACATATGAAGAGCCTGAAGCACAGAAAGTCTTACGTTAAATAGGGAAAATGAACTAAATTAAATTTAGTGCTTTGCATACTCACCTCAAATACAGAGTCCATTTCTGAAAAGGGGTCTGGGGCCCTGGAAACGCTTGGCATCTGTTCACTGTGATCAAAGTCAAAGCATTGATGAAGAGAAGCTTTTTCTAAGAAATACATGATTACATTCTAGTGCTGTAGGTGCCAGTCTCTGTTGTACTTTAACCAGAGGTGGGTAGAACAAGTACAAAAAAATAGAACTTATCTGAGAAGTTAAATACAAAATACTTTAAATTATATGACAGAGTAATCGTACTTTATTGTACTTTTTTTGGCTACTCTTTAAAGCCTGAGCATCGCTGACCTGATGTCCTTTAAGAATCGGGTGTTGTGAGAAAGACATAAAAGTGAACTATTGACTGTTACAGAAGTGAACTGAAGGAGGATGACACCACCAAAACATTCAGCTCCAGCCAAATGCAGCTGAGTTGAGCTGTATTACCTGCCCAGACAGAACCACATACTTTGACAAATCTTTACAAAAAACAAGTGGTTCTGGAAGCACATCTTGTCTCCCCAATTTCAGATGGACGTGACTGACATTTGGATTAACCAATCAGAGAGACACATGCTCTTTTATGTCAAAACAAACATGGAGGTTTAAAAGTAAAAAACAAAACAACTGAGAAACAGCATGGATTTCTACAGAATCAGCAATGGAAACACCAAACTCTTATTTATCTGAGGTAAAAGAAGTTTTCTTCAGTATTCTGTTGTGAATGATACAAGAATTTTCGAGAGATGTTTTCTATTTGAGAGACACGTGATACGAATTATCAGCTCTGGTTGTCTGGCCCAAATTAAGACAGATACACAATCAAAGAGCCAATCAGGAGGTTGTTGAAGGCACTCGCCTCTTCTCACTTGCACCACTGGTTTGTAGGAAGCAGGTGCCAAGCAACAATAACTGTTGATCAAAGCTGTTGCACTAGCAGAAAGAAAGCACCTCTTTTGTTCATTATTAATGTTCAAATGTTGATTTACAGACAAAACTGTGAAATCATGTAGAGCGGGTTAAAACATTTCATGATCATGTATAGTATGTACGTCTCCCAGCACAACAACTTACACCATGTAATGCCACTTGAACCCATTTCACAAATAATATTTTAGGAGCACATTTAGAGGTGACAGGTGCATTTGTCAGCTCCATCACGTCAGTCAGGCCTCAGTCAAACCTGACGAAGTTAACAACTGATGGAGTTGACAAAAATGCAGGTTGTTAAATACAAATGGTGCACTGTAGATAGTTTTTTGGAACACCGTTTCTTTTCTGCCTTTATAACCTCACTCAAGACTTAGACTCACTTCAGCACTTTGAGTAAATGCATCAGAATGGACTGATGGAGTTGACACTTTCCAGTTGTGACCGCAGGAATTTCAACGTTTTTGGTCTTAAATATCCATTAACAAAATCAACCCTCAGAGATTTAGATAATTATATTACTGACTGATTTAATGAGGTTTTTCAAAAGGTCTGACAGAGTTGACAAAAAGTAGAAAATACAAATATTTTCACAAGTTTACCATAAGCATTTTTAAAATATCTAAAGGCTTTTAATTCAATCAAATGCAATTTTGTTTTTTGAGCACTTGAACTCTCTGAATCTTGACGGAGGACACACAAAATAATATTGCCAATTATAACATTTTGAAAATATTTTTCTACAAATTGCTGTGTTTTAGAGAGGACCTGTTTTGTCCCAACTGTCAAGAATCACTGTTTCTGTGAAATAAAACTTACCCTTCATCTAAATCCTGCTGTTTGAAATTCAGGGGAACATCTTTTGAGAAATCACTCTTTAAAGATAGACAAGACCTCTCCGAGCTGTCAGCCTCCATCCTGAAAATCACAACATTTAAAGAAAAAGTATTAGACTTTTGACTTTTATTGTCCCCAAGGGGAAATTTATTTTCACGCAGGGAAAGCATTAGCAGTGTCATCGGAGTATTTAAGGTATGTTGTGTTTGTGGGACTGTTATAGTTGGGACTGATATTGTCATTTGAGTAGAGCGTGTAAAGAAATGGGCAGAGCACACATCCCTGTGGTGCACTGGTGTTTATGGTGAGGGTAAAGGATGTGGTTGTGCCGAACAGTACAACCTGTTGTCTGTTACTCAGGAAGTTTTGGATGAGATGGATCAGTCTGAAGGAGATATTGTTTGAGAGATATAATGAAAGTGATTTTGATCATAATAATCTGATAAGAGAAACAAAAGTGACCCTCAGAGATTTACATAATTATATGACTGACTGATTTAATGAGGTTTTTCAAAAGGTCTGATGGAGTTGACAAAAAGTTGGGACACTACTTTGACAAGCTGAATTTTTAAGAAAAATATTTTCACAAGTTTAACATAGGCATTTTTTTTTTTTTTTTTATAATTAAAGGCTTTTAATTCAATCAAATGCTTGTTAACACAACTGTTTCTGTGAAATAAAACTTACCCTTCATCTAAATCCTGTTGTTTGAAATTCAGGGGAACATCTTTTGAGAAATCACTCTTTAAAGATAGACAAGACCTCTCCGAGCTGTCAGCCTCCATCCTGAAAATCACAACAAAAGTATTAGACTTTTGACTTTTATTGTCCCAAGGGGAAATTCATTTTCACACACACACAGAGCTCGTTTGATATATACAGCAACAACACAGCACAACACACACAGACACATTGCAGCAGACATTACACAGTGGGGTCTTTTGTTCAAAAATGTGATGGCTGAGGGCATCAGGATTCGCCAAAGCGAGCCCTCCTGCACCTGAGCACCCTGTAGCTCTGTCCTAAGGGTAGAGGGTTGAAGTGTTCCTCCTGGGTGAGTGAAGTCCTGTTTTATGAAGAGTGCAAAGGCCCTGTTGTTAAGATCTGCAAGCTTGGGTGTGGGTAATCCTATGATTTTAGCAGCTGTGTGTGTTTCCTTTGTGAGTGTGGACTGGTTTTTCAGTCTCATTAAGAATGCCAGATGATGCCTAAAAATCCAGATAAAACTAGCAGCTTGACTGAAGCATGGTCGCTGATGAGTATTGTCCCAATTTCACAACCTATGTAAAAATAAATCTATCCTTAAAAATGTTATATTGCAGTGGGAATAAAAAGTATTGTCAAGTAAATTCTGCTCACAAGACAATTCTGTTAGAAAAAACACTCAGAACGACCAGGAGTAGTTTTATACTTGCACAAGGAGAGTTGCTGGGCTGTCTGTCTGCTTCCTGCTCTACTCTGCCCAACAACCCTCCGAGTCACTCTTTTATTGAAAATCATGTCACAGATAAGCATACTTGATGACATCACAATACATATGGTTCACATGTTTTCTCATGACTAACAATCTTCAACTGAACCACCCACCCATTTCACACTTGATTACATATCTCAATGACAGTCGGAGTTTCCCAAGGCTTTCAGTTTAGCAGATGATGGGACAAACCCTAGTTGTTTGTGCCCATGGTAGATTAGTTTAATATGTCAGTTGACATGTCATTCATATCAGCTGCTTGTTATTATGTTCAATATACCTCAAACCCATAAGCAATGTTGATTATATCATGATTAATATTTAAATGATTCACCCTTTAAATGATTAATACTTTAATGTAAGAATTACATATATAAATGAGTAACACTTTAATGAGACTTTAATCAAAGAAATACATTTATATATCATAAAATTCTCTAACAAGTATACTCTCTGTCACAAGGATTAACTAGCCTCCATCAATCCACTGAACACACGTCCACTGCAAGCATATGTATTTCCTCTGTCCCTGGGTGAAGACCGACCACTTGGTTTGTTTTTATCAATTATTCCGTCCATCACCTGATTAAAATCTCTTGCAAAAACCACTTGACCCTCCTGTTTCCTATTATACTATTAAATAAATGAAAGAAATCTGGGTCGTCCCTGTTAGGAGCATATATATTGCATGATATAATTCTAATTCCATTTATAACACAGATAATACGGCCTTCCCTGTCATTATGTTTCCTCAGTAACACAAAACTCAGCTTTTTATTTATGAGGCCATTTCACTTACTTGAATAAGAGCTTTGCAATACTGTCCCCACCCAGTGCCTTTTAAATTTCTGTGCTTCTTCATCCCCTGCAATATGAGATTCCTGGATCAACACGATATTGTGTTCTTTATTTTTAAATATGACAGTACCTTCCTGCTCTCTCCACAACCCTTTATGTTCCAAGATTTATATCTATATACCTTGACATTATATTAAATTAAGACAAATATTTTGAGCACTAAACTGAAAAGTATAGGCAAACTGAAAATAACAATATGCAATGCAACACTTTGGCTCATATATGACTGCTGTCTGAACAAAACAAACACTTCCCAGCTTAACCCCACCGAACAATCAAAACTCCCCATGATACACATCCTCCCGAGCCTGAACCATATGAACCTTTGTTCGGGATCCCTTTATTTACTCTGTGAGACCAGCTCTGGGCGAGTGACGGTCCCGCTCCATGTAAAAGCAACTTTCAACCTACTGTATCATTACCATTACCAACCTTACCTATGTTCACACATTCATACACTTCTTTCTTCTTGTTGAATGTATGAATGTTGAATGTAACAAAAATCTTTTCCATCAGTGAAGGTTTTCTTCTGGTGGTTTCATGTAAACATTCATGTGGCTGGGTGGAGCATCTTGTGTTTCACTTGGAGCTCACGAAGCTTCTTTGCAAGGCCAAACAATTTCCTCTTTTCTGCCAACTCCTTTGTGATATCCTCAAAACCTGCTGCCCTTCCAGTCTAATCTCCTCTTCTCCTTGACCATCTGCAGGACCTTCTCTTTTGTAGAAGGAATGTACAAGCACTAACCTTGGTAGGATCTGTGTCTGCATTTCCATGTGGATTTAAATGTTACAACTTTACTTTTTACTTTAATGAATGAGACAGCGAGCTGAGGTAAACGTTCAGCTGCGTCTTGCAGGAGCTCTGACTGTCTGACTGAAGTCCTACTGCAGACGTTCGCTGTTGTCTTTTAGCTCACTGGTTCATAGGCAGATTATTGTTGATTCATGTGCAGTGGTGTCCAATACGTTGATCGTGATCTACCAGTCGATCTCCAAGGTCGATTTGTCGTAGGACTCGTCTCGGGTCTCGCGTTTGGACTCGGTCTTGTCTCTCACTGGGGTCTGACACTCAACAAGTGCGATCATATTTCATTACGACCGCTGCTGTTGGCAATAAAGGTGTACCGGCGTGCGGGTGCGTGCGGGGACGTGCGGGAGCTTGTGGGAGCGTGCGGGGGCGTCTCTCTGCAGCCTGTGCATCATTTAGAATCCGCGGATAATGTGCGGCACATCACAAAAACACACTCCCTGCACACTGCAAACACACTCCGTGTATCACAGGGCAGGTTGAACTTTTTAAAACATCCTACCTGTCCATCTGTGTCATGTCAGTGCGCCGCTCCTCACCTTTTCACACTTTTGCTCCTCCCCGTGTAACGCGCACACAGGCTCCTCCTCAATGCGCTGATTTGAAGAGCAAGACGAAATGCGAAGCAAAAACTAATCTAAATTTATGTTCCAGTGTTGGCACAGCAGACCTACAGCACAGATCAGATCTACCGCGACATGTGACTGAAGTTTTCCTGATAAAAGTGCATGAATGCATCTGTGTTTGTCACGCTGCGCGTTTGGTTTGATCATGTACAAGAGGTAAATCCCACTGCAGAAGCAGTAAGAAAATGTAACTCCAGTTAGAAACTTGAAAAACGGGTTTAAAAATCCTACCCATTGTCTTCACTTAGTTCACAGTTTTGTGTAAAGTGCCAGTGGAAGTTCTCTTAAAGAAGGGGTTCTCAAACTGTGGGTGAGGGTCCAAAAAGAGGAGCAGAGTGTTTCAGTGCAGTTTGCTTGGCTTTGTAGTTGGTAGATCATTTTGACTTGGTCATTTTATAAGTAGCTCACATGCTGAAAAAGTGTGGCCACTCCTCTCCTGATGTAACGATTAGCCCAGCACTGTGAGCTCCCACACTCGGTTTCTGGAGATTGCCATCTTACATCTACCATATTTGATGAGCATATTTAAGGTTAAAACATGGGCTTTGTATAGAGGCTTTGCATCGTCACGTGACCCCATAGCAACGGTAACTACGCCGCCATGACACCAGGCACGCGAGATCAAGCATATCTGCTAAACAGAGCGAGCGTGTTCCATCTCTCCCGAAATATCTCGACTCGCTAGCCTCAGATGAATGAAAAAACTACTTGGAAAAGCTCAAATTAATCTCTAATATCGATCCTTATAATGTGACCACTAGTTTCTACTCCGATTTGACAGAATTATGGCCAGAAGTAGAATTTCCGGATATATCAAACCACTTGATATTTGCGACTAGTAGCTACACCAAAGAGCAGATCAAGGCTTATAAAAGCCTAGAGGTGTACCAGTATTTTGTTGCTGGGTGGGTCAGATATGTTTATGTAGGAAAAGCTACCAGTAATGTCGAGGTTTTAATCGGAAAGGTAAGCGTTTTCCAAAATTTCAACGCGATAGTCGTTTGTTTACAAATGCAACGGAACGCGAAAAAAAATATCTAATGTTATTTTCGCGCAGGTTAACCACTCTCAGCGACTGAATGAGACACCTCTGAAGCCCTGGATCGCAGCAACTAATGAAGGGACGATAATAACAGCCCACTGCAATTGTATGGCAGGCTTAGGAGGAACATGTTCTCATGTAGAAGTGATTCTGTTCGCCGTTGAAGCAGGAGTACGAATAAAACGATCTAAATCGTGCACTTCAGTCCCTTATAAGTGGTTGATGCCGACATCTGTGGCAGAAGTTCCTTATCGTGAACTCTGACAGAACTGAGAACTGAGAGAGTTCTGTTTGTGTTTCTGTCGAAATCATCGTCACATTTGGAGTCTGAGTAGCAGTAGAAACCGTATCTTCCAATCCAGCTGTCACTCACTCTCAGAGCCTTACAGAGACTGACCAATGAGGATGAATTAATTAGCAATGTAGTGACTCATGATGTTATTTTGGTTTTATGGTCACAAGGATTAGATCACATTCATGTGTATCACCATATCAGCCAGCATAATGCAGAGTCACACAGACATAGGAAGGCAGTGTGTCAAAGTGAAAGTCAAAGTGCTTACCCCAAACAATGGGGCCAATCCAAATCTCCGTCGTCTGTTTTGAAGGAATCCTCAGAAGTAACCGGAGATCTCGGTCGTTCAGGATTTGAAAGACCTTCTTTGTCTTCATCTGAACTGGACATGTTTGTCCAGAACAGAACAGTCAGCACAGGATGTGACAAAGTGAACCAAATCTAAAACCAAAGATAAAACCACATGTCAACAAATTTTTTACTTTACTGCTGATATTAGAGATTGACTGATATGGCTTTTTCATGGCTGATATCAAATCAAATGTTTAGAATCCAGAAAAAACAATGGTTGATAAGATCTGCCAATGTTTTTTGGCAGATATACAGAAGAAGAAGATTTGGATATTTCTTTCCTAAAACATATAATACCACCGTATTTTACTTAAAACTAGAGAGAGCTGTGTACAGTCACATTTTGTGCAGTTCAAATGAAGCTTTATACAAATTATTTAGGCAGCTGGTCAGCCCAAACAAAATATGGGCTTCTGCTGGAGATTTAAGGCTGATAGCCAAATGTAAATATTGTCCAGATACACTGGTCTATCTCTGGAGTCAGCTTTATCTTATGCAATAGATACCAACAAAGTCAAAGTTACCTGAACCTGAAGCAATGGCATCTCCATGGAGGCCAAAAATAACAAAGACCCCCTTGAACATTTTCTTCTGTAATGTGCTGATTATACTTTTGCAGTTAGCTATTAAACCTTAGCAATAAATATAATAAAAAAGTAAAATACGCCACCAAAAATACTTAATCAGGTTTTATCAGATCTGTCTAAAATTAAAAAGGAAGCCTAAATAACTGTAGCACATTGGTTCATGAGACTTTTTCTCAATGCTGACAGAAACTGCAATTTCAATATCCCTCCTCAGTGTGATTACCTCAGCCACAGTTGGGTAGACTGACAGAGTGGCTGCCATTTTGTGCCTCCATCAGCAAGCACGCTATTAGAAAATTATAGAGTGGGATTTAAACCGCCAAACTTATAGACTTATCTTATCTTTAGCAGGACAACAAACACCAAACATCATCACCATACGTATGACCAACTTTAGCATTAGCACATGGCCAGTAGTCAAGCAGAGAAATTCTTGTTAGACTCAAGACATGTGCTGTCGATCAATTTAATACTTGTTAAAATTAGAGATTGACCAATATGAGTTTTTTCTTGGTCGATCAGTTCTGCAGATATTTTTGGGCCAATATGATTCCCATAGAAACTAACAGCGTGTGTCACAATAAACAAACTTTATGGAGTTTCAGAGAGTGTGGATTATTGCTGCAACGGGATCTAACATTATCAAAGATAGAAGAAAGCCTGCACCTTTTACTGGGTTTAGCTGTGTTCAGAGGAAACAGGGTCAATGGACGCTGGCACTGCACTTACACTGCACTTACACTGCACCCCTGCCTTCCTGAGATCTGGAGCTAGATTTATAGGGCATGGAGAAGGCTCCCTTTGAGCCCTTGAAAGTGGCAGACCTGAAATGGTTGTTTTTAAAGACTGCCCTTGTGCTGACATTAGCTTCAGCCAAAAGGGTGGGAGAGCTTCATGCTCTCTCATTGCATCAGGACTTTTGTAGGTTCCTGCCTGAAGGGTCAGGTGTTGTTTTGCGTCCAAATCCGGTATTTCTCCTTAAAGTTGTTGCTAAATGGCACTTGGATATTGCCTTGGAGCTCAGACACCTTTTCTCTACCCATGAGGGTGATGAGCATAGTTGGTTGTTTGTGTATCCAGTCAGGGCCTTGGAGGTGTACCTGACTCGGACGAGGGGAATAGGACCACAGACCAGTTCTTTGTCTGTTTTAAGACAGAGGTGCTGGGACAGCCCCTGTCTAAAACTCAGCTGTTGCACTGGCTTGTTAATGCCACTTTTCAAGCATATGTGTGCATATGCTCCCAGTCCCTGAAGAATGTCAAATCCATTCTACACGTGGGATGGCAGCATCATAGGCTTTGTGGCGTGGGGCATCACTGGACGAGGTTTGCGCTGCTGCCACTTGGTCAGCCCCTTCCACATCCTTTGGCGAACATGTGCTTGGTACGTCTCAATGATGGGTAGTTATTCCCTCTAGCCTGGTGTCTTGCAGGTTAATGGTTTGTTTATCAGGACCTACGCGACAGCTTTATGCGTGTGGCAGGAGTTGCTATGTTGTCAGTCAACAGACGGGGTGAAACTGATCTTTGCTTCTTACGGTGCAGCGCCTCTGTGGTTGTGTTTGGCACTAGGGTTGGTGGCACTAGTACTTTGCATCTGACTGGTCTCATTTGAATTACACTCTGCTCGAGCCTCTTGTGGTGTGTTCTACAGAGTGTCGTACTTATGGAATATGTAACCAAGCACTCAGAGAACCATGGTAACATACTGTAACCATAATTAGGGGTGTCAAATTATCGCGTTAATTGCAATTAATTAATTACAGTCATATTTAGCGCGTTATGTTTTTTAATCGCGTTAATCTCATTTTTAATCTCTAACTTTAGTGTTTCTGTATGTGAGTTGCAGAAACAGGGACTAAACCAGGTTTAGTCCTGGTTTAGTCCTAAACCAGGTCTAAACCAGGACTAAACCAGAACTAACACCAGGACTAAAACCAGGACTAAACTAGGACTAAAGCAGGACTACAACAAGGACTAAAAACCAGTGATCTCATATATAAAACATTTCTCTATCAATAATATTTTTAATATGGTTAAGGAAAGACTGGACTTTTTATTGTCTTTAAGTAGACAAAAGTTATTATGTTCAGATTTCCTCGTCTTTGCTACTTTACAGCAAACAGTTTCTTATTCATGGAGACTTGGGCTCAACAGACAATTTGAAGAGATTTGTTAAACAATAAATGACTTTATAAAGTCACTTTTTTTTGTTCTATATCAGTCTTTTGATCTGCCACAATAATGTAATAATGAATTTAAATGAAAATACCTCAAATTGAAGGCTTTTCTCAGCAATTTTTAGGTGAGATTAAAAATAGATTAATTTAATTAATTAATTACAGATCATAATTAATTAATCTCTCAGTTTTTTTATCGCATGACAGCACTAACCATAAACAATTTCTGCAGCAAAACACTAATCAAACTGGACATTAATTAAGCTATAAATGTATTTTTACATCAATATTTTGTTCATTCAGTTTTATAATGATTCTCATAACGATTCAAAAACTGTAAGCTTGTGTATTGTTTATTAGAATGAAATAGTGTATTAATGAGACAGAAAGAGTAGACTGAAGAGAAATGATCCCAAATGCTTTTTGCTAAACATTCATACTTTAATATTAATGACTAATCAGGAATGTGGATTGTAGAAAATAAAATCACAAACTAAAGTTAAATCAACAGTTTGTGTGTGTTTATTACATTGACACAAGTGATCTCATCTAGACATTAATCAGAGCACATCGTATTTTTTCTGTTATCTGTGAATTTCACACCATTTAAACTGTCAATAGTAAATGTTATATGTAGAGGGTTTTATAATTATGAATATTCCTCACAAACATCTCCAGGAACCATTTTGGATGATATTAGAAGGTGAAACGTAAACTTGATGATTTTGTTTGTAATATTAAATTAATCAAATATTTGCTTTACTAATATTTTTACAACTCCTCCATTTAAATGAACAATAGTTGTTTAAACTGCAGCATGCAAGATGTGTTTTCATGCTGTTTTCATGCGATCTTGCTTCCTTCTCCTTGATTCCTCTCCTCAATTCTGCATGAAGGAAGGAAGGAATTCTGCAAGGAAGTCCCAGTCACAGAGGAGACACTGTGAGGAAAGATGAGCAGAGAGAGGAGCAGAGAGAGATGAGCAGAGAGATGAGGAGAGAGAGGAGCAGAGAGAGATGAGCAGAGAGAGGAGGAGAGAGATGAGGAGAGAGAGGAGCAGAGAGATGAGGAGAGAGAGTGAGCAGAGAGAGGAGGAGAGAGATGAGCAGAGAGAGAGAGCAGAGGAGAGGAGAGTAGAGCAGAGAGAAGGACAGAGGAGAGAGGAGCAGAGGAGAGAAGAGCAGAGGAGGAGAGGAGGAGAGGAGACAGACAGGAGGAAACACGAGCTGAGGGTGAATGGGACAGACTTTTCTCAGAAATGATCCTGTAGTGAGGAAAATACTTAAGCTTATTTAAATGAGGCTTATCCAGAACTTTTACATTAAAATCAGACCAACATCTTTATTTTCAGATATGTGTTTTAACATAGTATTTATTATTTCAATTCACGCCCACCGTAAGACAAATCAAACTGTATTATTTTAATTGTCGCCTTTGATTGACTGTTGAAAACTGGAGGATCAAGGAGAGGAATAAAGGAGAAGGAAGCGAGGTCAGAGCAACGACAAGCGGCGCTGTTTTTCCAAGTCGGAGTTTGGACCTTTAGAGTTTCCGAGTCACGTGAATTCATCACTGTTTGTGCTGACGTGAGCACTTAATTTTTTTCGCGATATAAATACAAAGATTGTCTCAGCAGTGTTACACTTGACTATATGTTCTAATTCGATTATGCTACAGAAAGTAAATAGTCCGTCAGAATTCTATAAAGTTAACTCCAGTCACCCAACGCTGCCTTTTAAATATACTTTAATTATATATATATATATATATATATATATATATATATATATATATATATATATATATATATATATATATATATATATATATATATATTTTTTTTTTTTTATTTTTTTTATTTTTTTACCAAATATTAACCAATACAAAAGTAAAAAGTGAAAATATACTGGCCTATAGATAAAATAAAGTCGAGTGAAGTTAAAAATGAAGGCTATTGTACGTTTTTTAGCCTCTGACCACAGACTGCATGGCATTTTCAAAGACTAGCACTGAAGTCAGAAGTCCATAGAGCATTGTCGTATGTGAGTTCAGTTCAGTCCGGGGACTTCACCCAAACATAAATGTGCTAAAGGTGTGAAGCTCAAACACTGGTCAGAATGAAACAGAACTGTTGATACAGCAGAAGACAGGCTACTTCAAACCAAATCAACATCCCGCTATTAAAACCAGACAATCGTGGAAGAATTAGAAGTTGCTCAACTAAAACGTACCTTGTGTGGGCGACTCAGAGGAAACGAAACAAAAAAGAAACGGAAACCAGAAAAACCAGAAGAGACATGCTGGGAGGACAGACTCAGAAAACACGAGACATACACGTTTTTAGTCCAAAGGCATTTCTTTTTTTCTTTTTTTAATGTTTACTTTTTTGGTTTGTTTTTTGTTTGTTTTTTTCTACATAGTCTATTTCATTAAAATCACACATTTAAATAATCATTGAAAGGATTTTAAGAAAAGGCGAGAGTGCCATCTTGTGGTTCGATGAAACAATACCTCGATGCCACTCACCCCCATCCATCCTCCTGTATCCCTGAGTAACACATGCCCCCCCATCCTTCTATACCCCAGTGTGTCAGATGCCCTCCCATCCTTCTATGTATCCATGTCTCAGATGCCCTCCCATCCTCCACATGCGTCTGACACAAAATGGAACTGACACATGGACACAGACACTGGGGCAGGGAGGGAAAAAAATCTGTCAAAATATCTGCAAAATTTTTAATATTGAACTGATGAAGAAGCTGCTTGGATGAGCAACAAAAAGTCTTCACTGTAAAAACTTGTCCAGCTGACAGAATAGAATTTTTCTTTTGCTATCACTTGTTCCATTATTGAAAAAAAAAAAATATAATATATAATGTGTGTGTGTGTGTGTGTGTGTGTGTGTGTGTGTGTGTGTGTGTGTGTGTGTGTGTGTGTGTGTGTGGTGTGTGTGTGTGTGTGTGTGTGTGGTGTGTGTGTGTGTGTGTGTGTGTGTGTGTGTGTGTGTGTGTGTGTGTGTGTGTGTGTGTTAAGAGCAAATTTATGTAGAAACTGTAACAGAACAATGAGCAGAACTGAAGACTCCCTTTAAGAGATGAGACACGACGACTTATGGGGGCTCGGAGGCTCATTCCTATAAAAAAAACACAACAAATAACATTAACTTGTGACCAGTGACTCCACAAATATAACTGTCATGTCTTTACTCACTGTAGGCTCTCATCCTGATAAAAGTTCATTGGAACATCTTTTGAAAGTTGCTTTTTAATTTTTGGAGCATCTCTGAAAGAAAAACACAACATAAGATGATAAATAAGAAAAAACAGATGAGCAGAGCCAGAGGAGCAGACAGGAGCAGACAGGAGCAGACAGGAGCAGACAGGAGCAGACAGGAGCAGGCAGGAGCAGACAGGAGCAGCAGGAGCAGACAGGAGCAGACAGGAGCAGAGGAGCAGGAGCAGAGCAGGCAGGAGGAGCAGACAGGAGCAGACAGGAGCAGGCAGGAGCAGACGGAGCAGGAGCAGAGCAGACAGGAGCAGACAGGAGGCAGAGAAGCATCATTTGGGTTTGAAGAGCACTTACTTTGAATCAGGAGGCTTGGTTGGAGATGTTGGGGTTGTGCCCCTGCAAAAGATGAAACTATTGAATTTCACAAAGATTGTATGTTTTTTTATAACAGTTTTCTAAAGCAGAGACTTTTTGGTGAAACCCTTTTGACTTACTCCTATTCAATACAGAGTTAGTCTGTGGCAGTTACACACACAGGAAGCTATAGGTCATTTTCACACTGACACATGTTAGGTCCATTTCCCCTTTCTCTCTCTGCAATCACTCTTCTCTCTCTGGAGCGTCTCTTCTCTCTCTGGAGCGTCTCTTCTCTCTCTGGAGCGTCTCTTCTCTCTCTGGAGCGTCTCTTCTCTCTCTGGAGCGTCTCTTCTCTCTCTCTGGAGCGTCTCTTCTCTCTCTGGAGCGTCTCTTCTCTCTCTGGAGCGTCTCTTCTCTCTCTGGAGCGTCTCTCTCTCTGGAGCGTCTCTTCTCTCTCTGGAGCGTCTCTTTCTCTCTCTGGAGCGGGAGCTCTCTCTCTCTCTGGAGCGTCTCTTCTCTCTCTGGAGCTCTCTCTCTCTCTCTGGAGCGTCTCTCCTCTCTCTGGAGCGTCTCTTCTCTCTCTGGAGCGTCTCTTCTCTCTCTGGAGCGGAGCGTCTCTTCTCTCTCTGGAGCGTCTCTTCTCTCTCTGGAGCGTCTCTTCTCTCTCTGGAGCGTCTCTCCTCTCTCTGGAGCGTCTCTCTTCTCTCTCTGGAGCGTCTCTCCTCTCTCTGGAGCGTCTCTTTCTCTCTCTGGAGCGTCTCTTCTCTCTCTGGAGCGTCTCTTCTCTCTCTGGAGCGTCTCTTCTCTCTCTGGAGCGTCTCTTCTCTCTCTGCAATCACTCCTCTCTCTCTGGAGCGTCTCTTCTCTCTCTGGAGCGTCTCTTCTCTCTCTGGGGCGCGTCTTCTCTTTCTGGAGCGTTTCTTCTCTCTCTGGAGCGTCTCTTTCTCTCTGGAGCGTCTCTTCTCTCTCTGGAGCGCTTCTTCTCTCTCTGGGGCACGTCTTCTCTCTCTGGAGCGCTTCTTCTCTCTCTGGAGCGTTCTCTTCTCTCTCTGGAGCGTCTCTTCTCTCTCTGGAGCGTCTCTTCTCTCTCTGGAGCGTCTCTTCTCTCTCTGGAGCAACACTTCTCTCTCTGAGTCTGTCTCTGTCTGCAAGTGAGTCTGGGTCTGTATGAGCAGGTGAGTCTGGGTCTGTCTGTGCAGGTGAGTCTGGGTCTGTCTGCAGGTGAGTCCGAGTCTGTCTGTGCAGGTGAGTCTGGGTCTGTCTGCAGGTGAGTCTGGGTCTGTCTGTGCAGGTGAGTCTGGGTCTGTCTGCAGGTGAGTCGGGTCTCTCTGTGTGCAGGTGAGTCTGGGTCTGTCTGTGCAGGTGAGTCTGGGTCTGTCTGCAGGTGAGTCTGGTCTCTGTGAGTCAGTCTGTGCAGGTGAGTCTGGGTCTGTCTGCAGGTGAGTCCGAGTCTGTCTGTGCAGGTGAGTCTGGGTCTGTCTGCAGGTGAGTCTGGGTCTCTCTGCGCAGGTGAGTCTGTCTCTGTCTGCAGGTGAGTCTGTCTCTGTCTGTGCAGGTGAGTCTGGGTCTGTCTGCAGGTGAGTCTGGGTCTGTCTGAGCAGGTGAGTCCGGGTCTGTATGTACAGGTGAGTCTGAAAATGACCTTTAAGGTGTACTGGTAACTTTTCTAGGAGAGGGTTTGTCTCCATGAAGATGTTCCATAAAATATCATTAAACTAATTTCTTTCCTTGCAGATAAGCAGGTGACTCAATCAGAGTGAGTTAGTTCACAGTTGAGTGAAATGATCTTCAAATAAGAAATCTGAAATAAAAATCATCGCAAATTAAAAAACGGAGACACCTGTGATGCCATACTGTGGAACATGTGGAACGTGTGGAACGTGTGGAACGTGTGGAACGTGTGGAACGTGACAAGCACGTGGCAAGTGGACCAGAAACATTACATTGTACAACTTTAAAGATAAACATAGTTGCTGCTCTGAACTCACGATGCACTGGGAGAAGACCCATACGACTTGATGTCTACAGCCTGGATTATTTCATCTACGGCCCTGAAAAGGAAACATCAAAATGTAAATCAACAAAGACATTACATAACATCACTGTGTTTTCAGAGTTTTTACTGTTTTCTGCATTTGTTTTTCAGTGGGGTGCAACAATTCACCATTGTGACTAGTTATAAGTCTATCAGTGGTGGAGCGTCAGGGCCTGCAAGTCCTTCTCTGCTGGCCTAAAAAAATCTCTGATGACTGATGTTAATTATATTATTATTAAATTACTCCAAATGGTCTGTCCGCTTCCTTTCAGAGCTTTTCTGATGCTTGTGCTGCTTTCACACATGGATTTTCATAATAAACTATTTGACCAATCACATTTCAGACATCATCTGTTGCCAGGCAGAGTCAAAATCACAGAAGTGACTTATTACTTATTAAGTGTGGATACACGATTCCTGACTGAACCAGGACTAAACCAAGACTAAACCAAGACTAAACCAAGACTAAACCAAGACTAAATCAGGACTAAACCAAGACTAAACCAAGACTAAACCAAGACTAAACCAAGACTAAACCAGGACTAAACCAAGACTAAACCAAGGACTAAACCCAAACCTAAGACTAAACCAGGATTAAACCAAGACTAAACTAAACTAGACTAAACCAGAAACCAGACTAAACCAAGACTAAACCATCAAGACTAAACCAAGACTAAACCAGACTAAACCAAGACTAAACCAGACTAAACCAAGACTAAACCAGGACTAAAACTAAACCCAGACTAAACCAAGACTAAACCCAGACTAAACAGGACTAAAACCAGACTAAACCAGACAAACCAAAGACTAAACGACTAAACCAAGACTAAACAGACTAAACCAGAACTAAACCAGAAGACTAAACCAGACTAAACCAGAACTAAACCAAGACTAAACAGGACTAAACCAGAGACTAAACCAAGACTGAACCAAGACTAACCCAGGACTAAACCAGAAACTAAACCAAACTAACTAAACTAAACCAGACTAAACCAACTAAACCAAGACTAAACTAAACAGACTAAACCAGGACTAAACCAAGACTAAACCAAGAAACCAAGACTAAAGACTAACCAAGACTAACCAAGACTAAACCAGAACCAAACCAAACTAAACTAAAGACTAAAACAGGACTAAACCAGGACTAAACCAAACTAAACTAAGACTAAACCAAAGACTAAACTACCAACTAACCAGACTACCAAGGACTAAACCTAAACCAGACTAAACACTAAACTAAGACTAAAACCAGGACTAAACCAGGACTAAACCAAGACTAAACTAACCAAGACTAAACCAGGACTAAACCAAGACTAAAACCAAGACTAAACCAGGACTAACCAGACTAAACCAAGAACTAAATAAGACTAAACCAGGACTAAACCAGACTAAATCAGACTTAAACCAGGACTAAACCAAGACTAAACTAAGACTAAACCAAGACTAAACTAAACAAAAACCAAACTAAACCAAGACTAAACCAACTAAACTAAACCAAGACTAAACCAGACCTAAACAGACTAAACCAAGACTAAAACCAACTAAAACCAGACTAAACCAAGACTAAACCAGACCTGATTTAGACCTGTTTTAGACCTGTTTTAGTCCTGTTTTAGTCCTGGTTCAGTCCTGGTCCTAGTCCTGGTCCCTCATATCGCAGGTCACTATAGGACAGTACTGGATATCAGTGTTTCCAGCAGCACTTTATAGTTAAAGCGGCCGTCTTGACAACAAATCAAATCAAATCAAACTTTATTTATAAAGCACTTTCA